AAGACGCTATACCACAGCGGCTGCCATCTATAAACAAATACTATATAATATTATTATAGACTCGTTTTTTTTCACTGTTGAAGACTTTTCGGGGACCAATGGGTGATCGAAAAAGGGGGGGGGGGGGGGGGGGCTCAAGTTTGCCTCCATGTTTCAGCGTCTTTGGTTTATAGCGACTGTCGGCTTCTGGGGTTGAGGCGTTGCGAACGCACTTCATAATTTCGACACACAATATTTAACTGAGCTGCAGACGATTTGACAGAAAAATGGCAAATTACTTAAGGTAAATTTTGCTTAGTAAAACCACAGAACTGCCACTAAAATGCTGGTTTTTTTAATGCAAAAAATCCCCTAAAGGGATTGCAACTCGTTTTTTTTTAAACTGTTGAAGACAATGACGAATGGGTGTGGGGGAGGGGGGCGCTCAAGGTTTCTACGCCCCCATGTTTCGGCGTCTTTGGTTTCTAGTGACTGTCGGCTTCTAAAGTTGAGCAGCGGACAATTTGACAGAAGACGGCAATTTACTGACGGTGAATTGTGATTAGTAAAAAAACAAAACAGACACAAAAAGGCTGCTTTTGGTCAAGCAAAAATCCTGTTTTACTGTTGAATACAATGACATACTGATAGGACAGACGGTTATCGACAAACAGAGGTTAAAGTGTTCTTTCTTTATTTAGATCTATGTGCGTAAATATTAAACCAAATATGGGCGATTTAATACAGTTTTACCCTCCTTTGTGTGCAGGTGGAGGCGCCATGTGGGAGCAGAGAATGCCCTGTCTGCGATGAGGCTTTGGTACACTTTCACAGCTGAATCGGTGATTAGAGTTTTACTACACGTGCTGCTGCTGCTGTTGTTACTATTTCTGCTACTACAATTGCTGCTGCTGCTGTTACTACTACTTATGCTACTAAAATTACTGCTGCGACTACTGCTACTACTATTACTATTGCTAATCACCACTACTACTTAAAAATACAACTACTACTACAAGACCCTAGAAAAGATCAAAACAGGACAACAAATGTTACTACTATTAACACAGTACCAGCAACGAATATACTACGACTACTGCTACTGCCGCCGCCGCCACCACCACCATAACCACCACAGCTACTTTAACTATTAACATCACTACTACACGATCAAAACACAATAAACTACTTCTCTAGGAAATACTACCGCTACTTCTACTACCGCCACTGCTACCGTTTATTGTTATTACTGCTACTAATGCTACTATTACTTATCCTACCACCACAGTTGCTACTTATACTGCTATAACTAATTTTGCAGCTACTACTACTACTGCATCTACTACCTCTACTGATTATCATGCCGTTTCAACTACGAATAATAACTACGAAAAATAATAATAATGCAACCACCACTACCATCATCACCATATCCACCACTACGTTTATTACTACCACCACCACCACACCACCACCACCACTTACTACTACTTCTATAAAGGCTAATAGTGCAACAAAATCTATCTTCTGTTAAAACGGCTATATCTTTGGCTGCTCCTGTTGCTACTGATGATTTATTACTATGCTGCTAATTCCACTTTCATTACAACCACCACCATCGCTTTCACAATCACCACTACTACTATTACTATTGTACCGCTGATTTTGATACTATTAACACAAACAACAATATTGCATACTGCCACCACCAATACCATACCTACGACTGCAGCTGCTCGCACTGGTATTACTACAACATCGACTATCACTACCATTGCTACTAGTTGAGGTGAGTTGAGTTGAGTCAAGAATTGACATCACTGCACACGGGGCATTCATATGCATGTTCAGTTCTCATCTTTAGAGTTCCAATACTGAGGGTACCGGTCACAATCTAGTTATATGTCCGTCTTGCCTTTCCTCTAAGTGTGGGGAGCCGGCCAGACCCACTGGTTACACCCAGGTGCCTCATTTCTCTACAAATTCCGTTGCTTGTTCCCAGAGGGCCTTGACCACCTCTGCATTGTCATGTATCAATTCACCACCTAGTGGTGCAGATCCAGCTAATAAGTCTGCCTGTTCATTACCCACTACTCCGGCATTGCCTGGAGAAAAGATCCAAAGTATGCTCACTACCTGTGACCTTCCTTCCCAGTGAAGCTTGCCACATTGCTTGAAGCATCCCTGTCTTCACCTTTCTCAGCATTCTTTCAGTCTGTTAAAATTACGACATGCGTATGCATCTTGTTCTCTAGCTATTGCTACTATTACTACTACATCTGCCGTCACTAGAATTATTACTTTTACCTATTCTACATTACTCTATACTATGTGTATTACTTTAACAATACGAGTTATCTTTTATTAGCACTAACGCTGTCATAAAGACTTAGATTTCTAGTAACATAACACTGTTTTACCCACTAAAGAATTTACTTTAAAAAAAAAAAATTTGTGACACTAACAATATAAAATATAGAAATGGACGACATTTTCTACGGAAACTGGTGACTGTTAATAGGATGAATTCAAAATAGATTCAGACAACAAGTTTTAAGACAAACAAACAAAATGGCAGTATACTGAGCACATCAGGAAGAAAAGGGAACAGAAAACCACTAAACAGGCACTTTAATGGGAAACAGGGATGAACAGGAGAAACAATAAGACGAACGTTGTTGATAGAGGCCAAAGATGCTGGACTAGATCCCATCCATGATATCGAAAGGATTGCAAGGTTATAACGGAATGGAGGACTAGACTCAGAATGCCTTGATACTTATAACAGCAGATTTGGATAATGATGATATTGACATTTACTGTAGCAAGTTCGCCTCGACACTGATAGGGTTTTCAATATGCCATACAACAGCAGTTCTTCTGGGATATTTTCAGATCAACATTCGCTATCAGACAATCAAAGAACCTGACTTCGCTATAAGTATCACGGTTACAGTACTCAAGATTCTCACTGTGAGTTTTGATGTTTGTTTCATTCAAGCTAAACTAGTTTGTAAGTATATAAATATTTTTTTCAGACAGACAACCTAGGCGGTGTGTTGTTAGTTTTCGGTCACTGACCACACCTGTTTGACAAGCGAATCTTTTTATTTGTATCAACGACTTCCGTACTGTATGTATAGATTATAGTATACGTTTTGATGTCTGTCTTTCTATCTTCGCCACTATGTGAGTTTTAATATGTGTATCTGTTTGTCTGCATTATAACGTAAGTTTTGATGTTTTTCTTATTCTTTCAGCACTGCCAATATAAATTTTGATCTATGTACCATCATGTGAGTGTACACTATACTTAAAATGTGTACCGTTGTGTCAGTCACTCTAAACTCTACTTTACACTAAAATTTTGTAACTTTGTGCTGCCAGTCTGTCTACCATTCACTGTAATTTTCTACCCTTTACGAGTGTGTCTGACATACGGAGAAAATTCCTGCGCTTGTTATAGTCTGTTTACACTACACGGCAAGTCTATATCCTAGGGGCAGTCTGTCTACACCACAGTGCAAGTCTCTACACTAGGGGCAGTCTGTCTACACTACATGGCTAGTCTATACCCTAGGAGCAGTCCGTCTGCACTAAACAGCTAGTCTATACCATAGGGGCATTCTGCCCACACTACACGGCTAATCTATACCCTAGGGGCAGTCTACATGACATGGCTAGTCTATACAATAGGGGCAGTCTTTCTACACTATACGGCAAGTCTGTACCATAGGGGCAGTCCGTCTACACTACACGGAAAGTCTTTACCATAGTCGCCTCTGTCTACACTACACGGCAAGTCTATACCATAGGGGCCTCTGTCTACACTACACGGCAAATCTATAACATAGGGCCTCTGTCTACACTATACGGCAAGTCTATACCATAGGGGCCTCAGTCTACACTATACGGCAAGTCTATACCATAGGGGCCTCTGTCTACACTATACGGCAAGTCTATACCATAGGGGCCTCTGTCTACACTATACGGCAAGTCTATACCATAGGGGCCTCTGTCTACACTATACGGCAAGTCTATACCATAGGGGTCTCTGTCTACACTACACGGAAAATCTATAACATAGGGGCCTCTGTCTACACTATACGGCAAGTCTATACCCTAGGGGCAGTCTGTCTACCATACACGGCAAGTCTACACCATAGGGGCAGTCTGTCTACACTACACAGCAAGTCTATACCCTAGGGGCGGTCTGTCTATACTACACGGGAAGTCTATACCCTAGGGGCAGTCTGCTTACACTACACGGCAAGTCTATACCCTAGGGGCAGTCTGTCTACATTACACGGCAAGTCAATACCCTAGGGGCAGTCTGTGTACACTACACGGGAAGTCTATACCCTAGGGGCAGTCTGTGTACACTACACGGGAAGTCTATACCCTAGGGGCAGTCTGTCTACATTACACGGCAAGTCTATACCCTAGGGGCAGTCTGTGTACACTACACGGGAAGTCTATACCCTAGGGGCAGTCTGTCTACATTACACGGCAAGTCTATACCCTAGGGGCAGTCTGTGTACACTACACGGGAAGTCTATACCCTAGGGGCAGTCTGTGTACACTACACGGGAAGTCTATACCGTAGGAGCAGTCTGTGTACACTACACGGCAAGTCTATACCGTAGGGGCAGTCAGTCTACACCACAGACACAGCAAGTCTATACCGTAGGGGCAGTCAGTCTACACTACAGACACAGCAAGTCTATACCGTTGGGGCAGTCTGTCTACACTACACGGCAAGTCTATACCATAGGGGCCTCTGTCTACACTACACGGCAAGTATATACCCTAGGGGCGGTCTGTCTACACTAAAATATTATGAAACGTATTAGCAAACAATTTCTTTGGAACAAGGGAGGCAACGCATGTAGCCTTGACAACTTTCCTAGGGGTCTAAGCCCCACCCCTCGCCCGTGTTTACAATCCTCAGGACACAGACGCCGACAAACATTGGTCACTGCAGTTGTTTGCATTGTTTTCTTTCACGTGGAATCTTTCAGAACCCCAGGGACGCCTCATTTATCTCCACCTTGGTCAATGCCAACGGCGTCCTGAGAGGAACTGATGGTATCAACGCTTTCGGTAAATGGTATCCAAAACAGCCGGACATCCCACCCAGTGACCACTATATGCTGATGACCGGGTAACCAAAACTTGTTTTAAGTAATATTTATTACATCTTCAGCTGTGGTAGCGTTGAGGCTTGACGCTCGTTTGCCGGCCTGAAGGTCTAAAGTTCCAGTCTACGAGTACATAGAGGGTGATTTTTTTCCCCCTTCAAATATACATTGGCAGCAAGGTTGACAAAGTCTCAGATTGGGGCCTGACAATATCCTGGAAAGTGAAGAAGGCCTGTGCGATGCTGACCACAACATCAGCCTAATGCCGATTTGATTTATAAATATATTAGGTTCAGTCATTGGGCTTCGCTGGGCAGCTCTCCTGTATGTAGGTCTAGTGGAAATAGGGGTCTAACTGAATACCTGTATTTAATATCCCGTCTTCTACATTATCTTTATGATTATGAGGAGGCATAAAGAGCCCTTACGTCCTTTTCAGGACGTAATTTTTTGTTATTTGAAGCCCCACTCTGGCTTTTGCCAGGGGCCGCAATATAGGCAGGCCATAAAAATGGCCAAATGTCTGAACGCGGTTTCTGGGACCTCTCCACGGTGATCCTCATCCACATGGTGGCACGTTGTTTCATCGGGTGTTTATCGCTTGTGTGATGTCCTAGTGGGGTAGACAGTCACTCACTCACTCACATTATCTTTGTCTCCACCGCTGCCGTATCTTTAGTCATTTATGCTAAGTGCACCCACGGCTCCCTTGTAATATTAACACCAGTAACTGACATTTTGGGAGACTCACATAGAGATATTGGGTTTCCCGGAAGATAATGGTGTTATTTAATTTTTCTTTAAATTTCTTTTTCAAGAGAAATGATAGGAAAATATTCAAAGGGACATAACTCCAGCGAATGTTTACTATGACTGATTCTCGCAATAAAATAAAAAGGAAATGCACAATAACCTATACTGCCATGTGACTTAAATTAAAAATTCCAGTTATAAAGGCAAATTTAACCCGTTTATTGGTCATAGTTTTGGAGTAGTTGACCCTTCAGTGAAAATAAACACACCGAAAGCAGAAAGAGCTTATTTGTGATTTATAGTATAGATGAGCCTAACTCAGTGACATCTTATCACAATTTAAAAATTATTGTGATTATCATATATCTGATTTCATCCTTTTTTAGGACGACATTTTTTGTTGTTTGAAGCCCCACTCTGGCTTTTGCCAAGGGCCGCAATATAGGCACGCCATAAATATGGACAATTGTCTGAACGTGGTTTCTGGGACCTCTCCACGGCGATCCTCATCCGCATGGTGGCACTTTGTGTCATCGGGTGTTTATCGCTTGTATGATGTCCTGGTGGGGTAGAAAGTCAGATAGTCATTTTGGTGTAATAAATAAGTATAACCCAGTTTTGTCCTTTTTAGGACAAAATTTGTTGTTATTTGAAGCCCCACCCTGGCTTTTGCTAGGGGCCGCAATATAGACAGGCCATAAATATGGCCAATTGCCTGAACGCGGTTTCTGGGACCTCTCCACGGCGATCCTCATCCCCATGGTGGCATATTGTGTCATCGGGTGTTTATCGCTTGTGTGATGTCCTGGTGGGGTAGAAAGTCCGTCAGTCAGACATCTTATCATTCCATTTATCTTCTTGTTAGATGCAATTTTTAGTTATTTTTAAGCCCCACCCTGGCTCTTGCCAGTGGCTGCAATATAGCCCGACCATTAATATGGTCTAATGGCTGAACGCGGTTTCTGGGACCTCTCCACGGGTGATCCTCATCCGCATGGTGGCACTTTGTGTCACTAGGTGTTCATCGCTCTGTGTGATGTACTGGTGGGTACAACTTACTTACTTAAGTCTTATAAGTAAGAGTCATTTTCTTTACTGTATTAAATAATTGTGTTAAGAACATTCTTTATGAGACTTGAAAGGTATCATTTTACAAAATGAAGACTATTCTATGCAATCATTTTGCCCCCAACTGAGAAAAGAAAGAGAATGCCCAAGAGATGTATCAATCCTGTCCTGCTATACAGATATGAATTGTTGAGAGCTGGACTATTGGTTTAAAAACATTTGGAAGCGGCTGAGATGTTTTATAGACAACGACAATTTACGTTCGTACGAAATCAGATGACGATATGTTCAGTTTGTCAAGGTTTCGTGCAAAGAGTAAGGATCAGACTGCATTCGGCTTTACAGTCATAGCAGACTGCATTCGGCTTTACAGTCATAGCAGTCGTGTTCTTAAACCAGCAGGACAGCTTCATGTTCCCTAGAGACTGACTACTGCCTACATGTGGTAAAGACATGTGGGAATATTTCCCAGTTAGTTGTGTTGTAAATATACGTCAATGCTGAGGTCAAGAGGATCGACTGCACTGTACTGGGTTATTTGATATAGCTCGGGTGTCTCCTGCGAGTGGCGCACAAAGCATGAATTCAGAAACTCTAGCGACTATCCCTAGTAATGTCCGTTAAATAAAAAAAAAAAAACACCTTTCAAATGTGCCATGTAGAAGTGTTTTCTCAATAGTCTTCAATCGCCTTTGCTTATTATATGCAAGAATTCTAAAGTCAAAGTTTCTCTTTCAGATATGACATCATGGGATCTTCAGGAATAGCCATCAGTAGCCGCATGTGCACGGAGTTGAGTATGTCCATTTGTGAGGACAGTTTTACTGGCTCGCTAGGTGGCGTAGCCGCACATGAGCTTGGACACAGGTAAGTAAAAAGACTAGACTGAGCATTGATATAGATATTGTCTAGTACTGGGGGTAGTTTTTAAAGCTTTCATAGACTGAGCATTGATCATAATCTCTAGTATTGGGGGTAGTTTTTAAAGCTTTCATAGACTGAGCATTGATCATAATCTCTAGTATTGGGGGTAGTTTTTAAAGCTTTCATAGACTGAGCATTGATCATAATCTCTAGTACTGGGGGTAGTTTTTAAAGCTTTCATAGACTGAGCATTGATCATAATCTCTAGTATTGGGGGTAGTTTTTAAAGCTTTCATAGACTGAGCATTGATCATAATCTCTAGTACTGGGGGTAGTTTTCAAAGCTTTCATAGACTGAGCATTGATCATAATCTCTAGTATTGGGGGTAGTTTTTAAAGCTTTCATAGACTGAGTATTGATCATAATCTCTAGTATTGGGGGTAGTTTTTAAAGCTTTCATAGACTGAGTATTGATCATAATCTCTAGTATTGGGGGTAGTTTTTAAAGCTTTCATAGACTGAGCATTGATCATAATCTCTAGTATTGGGGTTAGTTTTTAATGCTTTCATAGACTGAGCATTGATCATAATCTCTAGTATTGGGGGTAGTTTTTAAAGCTTTCATAGACTGAGCATTGATCATAATCTCTAGTATTGGGGGTAGTTTTTAAAGCTTTCATAGACTGAGCATTGATCATAATCTCTAGTATTGGGGGTAGTTTTTAAAGCTTTCATAGACTGAGCATTGATCATAATCTCTAGTATTGGGGGTAGTTTTTAAAGCTTTCATAGACTGAGCATTGATCATAATCTCTAGTATTGGGGTTAGTTTTTAATGCTTTCATAGACTGAGCATTGATCATAATCTCTAGTATTGGGGGTAGTTTTTAAAGCTTTTATAGACTGAGCATTGATCATAATGTCTAGTGTTGGGGATAGTTTTTAAAGCTTTTATAGACTGAGCATTGATCATAATGTCCAGTATTGGGGGTAGTTTTTAAAGCTTTGCTCCAAGCTTGAATTTCATCGCCCATGACTTGGTGGTAAAAGACAAGGACTCACCCCCTCCCCCTCGCTGACGACGACGACCATGAAGACGATGATGACTGTTTCATTTTTCAGGTTTCTTTGAAGTCGGAGTGTATCTGCCTGAGAGGCAAGGAACCAACAGTATGCATTCAAGTGAATCAGATCTGTAAAACAGGTGCACCGGCAACACTCAGGTTCTGGAGCAGGACTGCAGTTCAGAAGTGGACGAACCACCTGAACTTTCCACCAGAGTGTACGTCTGGTGAACGCGAAGAAAGAGAAAAATAATTCAGGATTCGAAAAGATTAAAAATGCCTGAGTCCTAAGTTCCGGTGTCCCCGAAAAGAGGCGACTGTTGACCACAAAAAAAGGGCATAACCAACCTTGATGTTATCTATATCCTTCTCATCCCCAGTCTGTCAGCAGTGCATGACGTCAGCACCACAGGACCAAACGCCTGCTCGGACAAGGACCAATATATCATGTCCACCGTGTTTACTTCCCCTGTTGCTGCTGGCAACGAGGGAAACCCCTGGAGATTTTCACCCTGCTCCATCAAGTCCATCAAGGCATTCCTGGATGAGTGAGTTTTACTATCTTCTATGTAAAAGAATACTGGCGTATTCATCTGAATAGTGAAGGTGACCAATCGATACGTTTTTACCGGGACTGTACCTTTTTATAGATGTGTCCTGTCCGTCTTGGCGATACTCCAGGGAGGGAAAAACGTCTATTGTCCCGTTTTATAAGAATTAAGGAATAAGCTCAAAAACAGAACAAATCTTACAGTTATATTTGTAGACCTTACTAGATTTCATAGTTTCATATACTGCTACTCCCTCAGTGGGTTTTGGGGCCTAGTGGGCGAGAAGGGAGGGACGGGGGGAGGGGGAGACAACAGTTCTCTGACTAGCATATGGTAAACGTCAACAAAGTAGGGGTGTTTCTTTTCGCAATCTCAGTGCATCTACAAGACAGGTGAGAAACCAACAGTCTGCTTTCAAATAAGCCATATCTATCAAACGGATGTGGACGAAAAAAATCAAGTCCTGGTGTGCCTCTAGGTAGCTCGTTGTCTATTCGAACATTCCGTTCTATCATAAGCAATCACACCGGGCATACAAAAAAACTTCTCACTCAACAAAGAACTGGCACTATTAGTCACAGGACGCTGGGGTTTATACTGAAGAAAGGATCTGAACACCTGTGGATATGTCCGGAGTGCAAAGATCATATCCCAACTAACTAACTGTGCAATCACTTCGATGTCACGGATGGAATCTAGTCCAGCATCTTCGGCCTGTGTCATCAACGTTGTGTATTGGTTCTTTTGGACAGCCTATCTGTCTCAATTTTGTTATTTCCCATTTGTAGTGCCGGCAGGGGTGCATTCTCTCACCATACCTCTTCAATATATATGCAGAAAATATAATAACAAATGTCAAACATGACCAGACTTGTGACAGTTATGATCCGCTCAAAATTGGTGGCAACCCTATTCCGGAACTCCGCTAGGCAGATGACACAGTTCTCATTTCGAAAAGCGTAAAGGGAATAGAAAATTTAATATTGTCTGGCCAAAATAAAAGTGAAGATCAAAATCTATTCTTGAATTTAAAGAAAACGAAAATAATGTCCACAGATAAAACTGAGTGTCACCCAAAAATAACAATAAATGATAAGGAAATTGAAAATGTCACAAACTTTGAATATCTAGGCTCTATAATAAACAATGGAGACTGTTCGACAGAAATTAAAAGGAGGATGGCCATAGCAATGCAAAGATTGAACAGTCTTAAAAGTCTATGGTTAAGCACCAGCAAGGAGATAAAAATTAGAATTGTGAGAGCACGCATCTTCCCTGTGGCTACATACGGATGCGAGTCGTGGACTATCTCTCAGTCCTTGAGAAAGAGAATAGGGGCTTTTGAGCTGAAATGATATCGAAAGATTCTCAGAATATCTTGGACAAAGAAGACGAGAAATATTGACATCTTCAAAGATCTGAACATCAAGGAAGATTGGCTAATAAACAGCATCCTTTCTCGAAAGCTGAAACATTTTGGTCACATGAAGAGCCACAACGGATTGGAAATTTTTTTAGCAGAAGGCATGGTACCAGGAAGGAGGTACAGGGGCCGACCGACACGAAAATTGGCACAGGATATAAGTGACTCCTTCAGTCTGAAAGTGTATGAGGCGGGAGAATTGGCGAGAGACAGTTTCTTTCAGGCAGACTGTGATGAGAGCGACGTTCTGCAAAGGACCTGCTACATGACGATGATGAGTGCCTGTTTGACTATTCTCTGCTCGTTTCTTCCCAAGATGTGTTTAATATAGAGCCATCTTCTTTCTCTTAAAACTGCTTTTACCAGTGATTGCTCAGACATCTCTCTTTTTTTTTTTTTTACTCCGCTTCAGTTCATTACATTTTATGTTTATCATTTTCCTCAAGCATCTATTTTCATACGTAATTATTCTTCTACGCGTTCACCGGCTGCAAACTCTGACGGAAAATTCTGGTTGTTTATCCACTTCTGGATTTTGGTCCGGTCCTAGACCCTGATTTTTGCGCACATCCGTTTTACAGATCATTTTTCATTTGCATGCAGATTTCCCATCCATCCATCCATTTACGAACCCACCCCCCCCCCCACCCCCCAGCAAAAAAAATCGACCACGTTCAACCTTCTGCGACCAGCTACGGTTATAATTGTGGTTTCTTTATGTCAATTATGTTGGCTAAGAAATGTTAACTGCACCAAAACTAATGACTTGGAGCGGTACTCTAGTACCTAGTGAGGGCTGTTGGGGAGGGGGCTGCTCGTGTGGATATGTACACACATGCGCACACGCCCACGCGGGAATTCATACACACGTGTTTGCTTACACACAGACATGTACATGTAAACATACACTTAAGGCAGACGATGTCGTGCTTTGGCCAGACGCTCGCCTATGGATCAGAAGGCCTTGGGTTCAAATCCTGACGTAGGCGGTCTCTAGTTTGGGTCTTTTAGCTTGTATATGTGATCCCTTGTCATATCCCTATTGTAACGGGATAGTTAAGCAGTCTTGGGCATTTTAAGTTGTTTCACGCAATTGAATTCTTTCTCCTTTATTATTCTCCTTTCTCAGTTCCTTTTCATCACCTTACAGTCTCTCTCTCTCTCTCTCTCTCTCTCTCTCTCTCTCTCTCTCTCTCTCTCTCTCTCTCTCTCTCATCATATCTTCATCTATAGAGACTAAAATATGTTTACGTGTCCTGCAAATGAATTTCTGTATTAGTTTTTGAATGTTCTTATTGCTGTCAACGTTTAAGCATTCCTTGGATGTCAATGACTGATCTAGTTTTTGAATGTTCTTATTGCTGTCAACGTTTAAGCATTCCTTGGATGTCAATGACTGATCTAGTTTTTGAATGTTCTTATTGCTGTCAACGTTTAAGCATTCCTTGGATGTCAATGACTGATCTAGTTTTTGAATGTTCTTATTGCTGTCAACGTTTAAGCATTCCTTGGATGTCAATGACTGATCTAGTTTGTGAATGTTCTTATTGCTGTCAACGTTTAAGCATTCCTTGGATGTCAATGACTGATCTAGTTTTTGAATGTTCTTATTGCTGTCAACGTTTAAGCATTCCTTGGATGTCAATGACTGATCTAGTTTTTGAATGTTCTTATTGCTGTCAACGTTTAAGCATTCCTTGGATGTCAATGACTGATCTAGTTTTTGAATGTTCTTATTGCTGTCAACGTTTAAGCATTCCTTGGATGTCAATGACTGATCTAGTTTGTGAATGTTCTTATTGCTGTCAACGTTTAAGCATTCCTTGGATGTCAATGACTGATCTAGTTTTTGAATGTTCTTATTGCTGTCAACGTTTAAGCATTCCTTGGATGTCAATGACTGATCTAGTTTTTGAATGTTCTTATTGCTGTCAACGTTTAAGCATTCCTTGGATGTCAATGACTGATCTAGTTTTTGAATGTTCTTATTGCTGTCAACGTTTAAGCATTCCTTGGATGTCAATGACTGATCTAGTTTGTGAATGTTCTTATTGCTGTCAACGTTTAAGCATTCCTTGGATGTCAATGACTGATCTAGTTTTTGAATGTTCTTATTGCTGTCAACGTTTAAGCATTCCTTGGATGTCAATGACTGATCTAGTTTGTGAATGTTCTTATTGCTGTCAACGTTTAAGCATTCCTTGGATGTCAATGACTGATCTAGTTTGTGAATGTTCTTATTGCTGTCAACGTTTAAGCATTCCTTGGATGTCAATGACTGATCTAGTTTTTGAATGTTCTTATTGCTGTCAACGTTTAAGCATTCCTTGGATGTCAATGACTGATCTAGTTTTTGAATGTTCTTATTGCTGTCAACGTTTAAGCATTCCTTGGATGTCAATGACTGATCTAGTTTTTGAATGTTCTTATTGCTGTCAACGTTTAAGCATTCCTTGGATGTCAATGACTGATCCAGTTTTTGAAAATAGTCTTCTGGTGGTTTTCTTTCCTGTTTATATAGACTGTTGATTCACTGTCTATCAGGCAGATGCACTACGACTTCGAAGAAAGCTCCCAATTAGTCGATTCTTACGACATGCTTTTTGAGTATGCAGGGTGTTTATTCTTGTTTTCCCAACATTGCGACCCTGGAACCCAAACTTTCGTCCTTTCTTTAGTGGTTCTCTAAATTTCACTAGCATGTATTTCAGGTGAAAAAACATTACAGTTGAAAATACGTAATTGGTTTTAAACTATACTATTTTGAGTTCCACATATTTTTTTTTTTTTTTCGGGAGTCGCTGTGACGCAGCGGCTAGACGCTCGGGTGCGGATTAGAAGATGGTGGGTTCGCTCCCTGGCGGAGCCGGACTTTTTTCAAAAATGATCTTGACTCTAATGTCGACCAAGCCTTGAATGGGTACCAGGTGCAGTATCGGGGAGTAAAGGCTCCGGCGTGATGCTGACCACATCACCTATCTTGTGCCGAATGGTTTATAAAAATATATGTCAACCCCTATATGCCCTTTACGCATATAGGCATGGAAAAAGGACCTTTACTTTTACCTAACTTTTATAAGTTTGTGTCGGTCTTTCAAAGGCTGCCAATGCCCTACCAATGCGTGTCTGGATATTATTGTTTGTATTTCCTTCAATATCGAAATTTTTAACCTAATAAGTAAATTAATCTATTTCTTTAATCCATTTCGCATCTAGTGCTACATCTGCTTGATCTGTTACTGGTGTCTTCAATAATTATTGTCTGCCTCTATTCATATGGCGCTGTGGGTTCCAGTGAAAATTCATTCTGGTTAAATTGTTTTCATGCTTTCCCAGCGTGTGATCTAGCCAACGGCTTTTGAAAGCAAACATGCATAATTTTATGTAGCTGAAGTTCTAATGTGAACGTTTCCTGTCTGTTCCACAGGGTCACATGTACTCTTCCAGAACATACTTCCAGGATTCATCAACTTCCAATGCCCAGTGAGAGCAACAGAGCGGGACAAGTTCTCTTCAGAAACGCACAGTGCGTCCTGGCGTTTCAGGACTCTAGAAGTTCATTTTGTCAAGTAAGTATAGTAGTTTATTAGGACATTCCTTAAAACATTGTGTACGCAACGCAGTGTTTTGATATATACTTGACTTCCGGCCAAAATAGAGAAAAGGTTTGTCAGAATGTTAGGCTTCGAAGTTATTTTTGCTCCCAACAGCACTTTGCTAATGCAATTTCCACATAAGGACAGTAGTCTACGGTTTTGCTGCCTGGGCTACTGAGTTTGGTGCGTAGTTTCAGCCCTGTGAGTGGGGTTTTTCCTATGGAATGCCTTTTATTTGTGAGCTGTGGTGTCGTTCTGTTTAATATGGCCGGTGTCCGGTTTAAGTGTGAGCTGGTCAAATACCTTATGTAAGAATTCAACGTGTGTGTATAGTAACCAGCCTGTAGGTTCATTACCTCTTAGGTAGATGCACTCCAAATTTGAAGCCCTCCTTCCCAATTAGTTGACTTTTATGATATGCTTATTGGTAAAGCGATGGGTCTGGTCTTGTTTTCCCTACAATAAGGCCCCAGAATCCGTACGGGGAAAATCGGAGAGTATTAAATGCCTTCTTGGGTATTTTGTTTCGTAATTTAGTCCACACTGATATCATTTTTCTTGTTGGCTCTTCCTGCTTCTTGGTTTCAGATTGGCTTTGGTTGTTTACAAAATATGTTTATCAACTGAACTTTCCAGCCACATTGTGTATTGCATGTAGTCCTCCGTTGATAAAGACTTCGGTAGAAACGTTCTGTTGTATTTGTGCGTGTTCGTTTCTTTCAAGTCAGATGTTATATTGTATATAGTCTTCTACAAAGACGAAACCTTATTACGAGCTTTCGAGAGCAAGGTTTATGTTCAACATAAAATAGTCGAGAATAGAATGTGGTCACCCACTGGCTGGCCGTTAGACAACTTCGTCGCCGGTCGAGAAATTATTTGGGTCCGTCTCTTTTGATCGCAACAATACTACAAGATTCCTTTTCATGGCAACTTAGAGGCATGCAATGCTAAGCCTTTTTATATGGCGCACATACACAATTATAACCTAAAGCTCCCCTTCGGGGATGTTGGTTGAACGTGACGATTTTTTTCTCCAAAGGAAGCCAAACTAATGTGTAGGCCTGAATAGATCGTTGTGGTCCGGTGAGAATTGTGCAGCAACGAATGGTCACTGGATCTGGTCGATACGCTGCACTCAGGGGAGATCTAATCCAACTGCTACAGGCAGCATCGGAACTAGAACTCTTCGCTGGCTACTGAAGATAAAGACGTCCTGCTTATGGAAATATTCCGAGCGCTGTGACGTCTAATCTGAACTTATCGCAAACACTAGCAGTGTCACCATCGTTATCCCGACCACCACTAGCATCACCACCAGAATGACAACTACCACCACAATTATCACCAGCATCAACAACGTTATCAGGGAAACCACCGCTACCACTATCGCCAACAACACCGTTATCGCCACCAACATCACGGAAACCACCGCCACCACTATCGCCAAAACCACCGTTATCTCCACGATTACCACCACCACTATTACCACCATTGTTACCACAACCATCATTACCACCAGCATGATCACATTTCACCACTGTTATCACTATCACCACTATTATCGCTGTCATCACTATTATCTGTATCACCACTATTATCGCTATCAGCACTATTATCGCTATCACCACTATTATCGCTTTCACCTCTATTATCGCCACAAACACTACTATCACTATCACCACGTTTATCGCTATCATAACTATTATCGCTATCACCACTATTGTCGCTATTAAAACTATTTTCTCTATCACCACAATTCTCGCTATACCCACTATTATCGCTATCACCACTATTATCACTATCACCACTATTATCACTATCACCACTATTATCACTATTACCACTATTATCATTATCACCACTATTATCGCTATCACCACTATTATCACTATTACCACTATTATCACTATCACCACTATTATCGCTATCACCACTTCTATCACTATCAGCCCTATTATCGCTATCATCACCATCCCCACCACCACCATCATCATCATCACCATCACACCCACAACTATCACCATCTCGGTCACCACTACCATGTTAACACAGTCATCATCATCATCATTATTACCATCATTACCAACACCTCTATCACTCACTACCATCACTGTCATCACCATAACCGTCATTACCACTACCACCACAGTTATGCTTACTTTTTTAATCGTTGTGATCGCATCATCTTATTTACTACAGTTAGTTGCGTAACCTTTACAGGACGACGCAGAACCAACTACAGTATTTTTTTGGCTGTTGTGGATTTTCTACGCAGATTTGACCTTTAGTAGAGGCTGTTTTTCACTGAACGATCAACTCTCGGCACAACTGTCGAAACCAACACAAGAGAAATATTATCCGCAAGCTGGGATTGAACGCAGCACCTCGGCATTATGACGCTCGTTCTTATTTACTACAGCGTCTTTTAATATTTATATTCTCATTTATTCTCTATTACGTCACTTCGAACAACTCTATTATTATTTCATTTTTATTAATTTCATCTTGAGCATTAAGAATTCAAACAACTAAAAACCCCTTTATACGAACTGTTCCATCTTAAAAGCGTGATATTTTGATATTTAGTTGGTCATTCATTAAAAAAAAAAATAGTACCTGTGTTTTCAAATTTCTAGCCCCACTGCCCCCTTAAATTTTTTTTTTTTTTTCGATCTTATCTGTTTCAGTCAATACAAATGCAGAACGGTGGACTCAACAGTTTGTGTGGTGGCATGTACTGCAGCATTCCTGGTGACTGGATGGGAGCTTGTCAAACTGTAGTTCCTCAGGAGTTTACTCCGTGCGGGACCGGCAAGGTACAATTGATAGAACAATGTTCCGCCTCCACAATGAAGGTTGGCTACAGTGCGTCCATTGTTGTCTTTGGGAATAGTACATGTTTGGATACCAATCTCTTTGAGGGTGTGATTCTTGCACTACTGTCAGCAGCCCACGATAACGACGTTTTGCATGTGCTTATGTTGTTGTTGTCAACAGAAAACTATTCACCAACATCGGAGATGCACTCAGAATGAATAAGACCAAGCTATCCCATCAATCCCTCAAATAAAATGGGGAAGACAAAGGGAGACCCTACGCAGAACCATCGTCAGGGAAGTCTCATCAATGGGATTAATGAACATCCAAGACATAAAACAGGTGGCAGCGAACATGGAGAGCTATGTCCTCTGCCCTATGCGAAGCTCTAGGCTAAAAAAGAAAGACTAATTTAACCATCTATCACGGAAACCAAACCATAGTGCTCTGTGATCGTCTCAAACTTTGAATATTTAGTCTTCACAATGAACAGCAGTGAAGACGGTTCACAGATGTTACAAGGAGGAACGCTATAGCGATAAAATGTTTAAACTGCGTTAAACGTATATGGTTTAGCCCCTATAAGGAAATAAAAGTCAAAAATGTATTGCCAGGCATCTTTCCTGTGGCAACATACTAATGTCAGTCGTGGAGTGTCTCACAGTTTAGTTAGTTGCGTCTCCTTTACAGGACGTTGCAGAACCAACCCCAGCATTTTTTGGCTGTTGCGGTTTTTCTAGGCAAGTTTACACCCAGTAGTTTGCCATTGCTTCCTGGACGGTCGGCTTCTTGATACCACTGTCGAAACCAACGCTAGGCGCAAGGCCTGCAGCTGGGATCGAACCTTGCACCCCAGCATTAAGAATCGGGTTCGCAACGCCTATGCCACAGACGCCGTCTCACAGTCCTTGCGGCAAAAGACTGGGCTTTTGAGCTGAAATGCTAAACCACATTCTCAGAAACCATAAGAGCAGATCGGAAAGGAATGATGACATCATAAAAAAATCTGAACATCAAGAAAGAATGGATAGTAAACAGCATCTTGTCTCAGAAACTGAAATTTTGTGGCCATATAAATTACCACGGCTGGTTGGAAAGAAAGGGGGAGAGGGGGGGGGGGGGGGTAGTAGAAGGCCTGGTAATAAGACAGAAAGGCTGGGGCCGAAACATGATATACCTGACACTTTGGGTCGGAAAGTGTACGAGGCAGGACAGATAGCGTCAGACTGAGGTTTAAGGCAGACTGTGATGAGAGCGACGTTTTGCAAAGGACCTGCTTCATGACGATGACACGATGATCAAGAAATTGTGAAACGCATTCACTGACCTCTAATCCACAGTACCGCCGCATGTTACAATTGTTCTGTTAGTATTCTTTCATAAATGGGTTGGCGCCGTTTGTTTAACTCCTCGTATGGTTCTATACTAGTTCTCTCCCAGAAGCAACCATTGAGTGTGGTTATTTAGGTATTGACATATCTGCTTACAGCCAAAAGCACCTTCTTCATTCTTCACGTTCAGGGCTGTAAACTCTGGTGGAAAGTTGTAGTTGTTCGTTCACTTCTGTACTTTGTTGTTTTTCCAAAACTTCAGTTTTTTGTGCACGTCCGTTTCACAGATCTTATTTTTGTGTGTGCAGACTACTGGTTCCTTGGCTCTCAGATAGATGCACTTCAACATCGAAGACGAGTTTTAAGACATGTTTATTAGGGGCAGTGGGTCTATTCTCTTCCGACCCCCCCCCCCCCCCCCAACCCGGTGGCGCACCTGATCCCGCGTAGGGCCAAAATGATGTAAGTTCACTTCTACACTGTTCCATTGCTTTGTTTGTCCACCCTTTATTTCACTTTTGATCACGCTTTTTTTGTGTGTCACCGTTGTTTCATCTTAAAACTTAATTTCACCTAAAAAAGATATTTCATCTTTCATCGCTTTTTTTATTCTTAGTCTTCATTATTTAATCCTTTGCTTTTCCGCTGTCCGTGAAAGCTCTCTATTGTCTTGCAAGATTTTCTTTTTCTTAGAACTGTTATTTCATCGTTCATGCTTATTTTATCGTTCACCACTACATCTTCCCCACCTCCTCCACCTCCTCCTCCCCTTCTTCTTCTTCTTCTTCTTTTTTTCTTCTTCTTCTTCTTCTTCTTCTTCTTCTTCTTCTTCTTCTTCTTCTTCTTCTTCTTCTTCTTCTTCTTCTTCTTCTTCTTCTTCTTCTTCTTCTTCTTCTTCTTCTTCTTCTTCTTTTTCTTCTTCTTCTTCTTCTTCTTCTTCTTCTTCTTCTTCTTCTTCTTCTTCTTCTTCTTCTTCTTCTTCTTCTTCTTCTTCTTCTTCTTCTTCTTCTTCTTCTTCTTCTTCTTCTTCTTCTTCTTCTTCTTCTTCTTCTTCTGCATAGACCTACTGTGAGCTCTGGCAGAAAGTTCTGATGTTCATCCACTTCTGAATTTTAGTCTTGTTCAAAAGCCTGCGTTTTGAGTGCACATCCTCTTTATAGATCTCGTTTATATTTTGTATGCACACATTTGGTTCCTCGCCTGTTAAACTTTTAATGAGTCATCCCTAATTAGTTGACTTATACGACATGCTTGTTAGGTAGCAGTGGTCTGTTCTTTTAGTTCCCAACAATGGGGCCCCGGAACCAACACGTTATATCCTCTTTCGTCGTCATTTACTTTTTCACAGTTAATTTATCTTCCACCACTATTATTTTTTTCAACGTCATTGTTTTGATACAGATGATGTTATCCAAAAACTTCCGTCTCGTTTGCTTTTAATCAGTTCTGGCACAGACGACATTCCATAGTCCATGCAGTGTCTCTTTGGTAGGCAGGTCTATCCATGAACTTCATGGTGTACTTTCAATCAGTTCTGACACCAATAATCTTCCACTGTCCACATCGTGTTTCGTTGGTAGTCATGTCTCTCCACAACATTGTATCTCAAGTACGTTCAGTCATTCTGACACAGATAATCTTCCAAAGTCCATGCTGTATCTTGTTGGTAGTCATGTCTATCCACAACCTTCTGCCTCGTGTACTTTCAGTCATTCTGACAGAGATAATCTTCCATAGTCCATGCTGTATCTCGTTGGTAATCATGTTTACCCACAACCTTCTGCCTAGTGTACTTTCAGTCATTCTGACACAATCTTCCATAGTCCATGCTGTGTCTCGTTGGTAGTCATGTTTACCCACAACCTTGTATCTCGTGTACTTTCAGTCATTCTTAAACAGATAATCTTTCACAGTCCATGCTTTGTCTCGTTGGTAGTCATGTCTATCCATAACCTTCTGCCTTCTATACTTTTAATCAGTTTTGATACAGATGATCCTCAATTCCATGAAGTCAAACCGTCCAGAGTTTTCTCTTTCGGTCTCCCTCTTCAAATTCTCACTCCACACCCCCCCCCCCTTCCCCATCCACCCCCAATCCCACGATGTACTTCAATGTTCTCCTTTTCATAAGCAAAGAATTTGCTCCTTTTAATGTTGGCAGTCAGTTCTATCTGTCAGTGAGTTTCTTTCAAAATATCAGCATCATCATCTGTTTAGAAAAAAATTAATTTAAAAATCGTCACGCATAACTAACACTCTGAAGGGGAAGCTTCAGGTTATAATTGTGGCTAGGTTATGTGCACTATATACAATGGCTTATAATTTCACGCCACCAAATACCCTGAAAAGGACTCTTACAGTGTTGATGCGATCAAAGGACACAGATCCAAATACTGTCCAGACCTGTGATGAAGTGGTCTACCGGCGAGCCAGTGGACGACTCGATTGCCGATGATGTCAAAATATCTGCATTACTCTTTTTATCTGTCCAGGGTATTCTCACCATTCATCTTTAAAACCGGATCTCCGTCACTTCCAAACAAATTTCTAAAAAAACTAATCGGTTAACTGTCCTTGATTTTCTTCTGTATATCAGGATATAACTGATATAGCTCTTCGTAATTCTTTTTCTCGTCTTAACTGATAAAGCCGGATTGCATTTAATATTCTTCATTTTGTTAAATGTTGTTTTTGCTTCATCTGTTCTACATTTAGATTCTTTGTTCTTTGTGATGTTATCAGTCAGTGTACCCAAATATTACTTATTTGAATGACAACCTTTATGATATTCTTTTTTTTTTTTTTTTTAATAGTGGTGTGTAACAGGACGATGCGTCGACATGGAAAGTCCTTCATCTAGTTCTACATCATCACCAACAGCCGTCACAACCCTTTCTTCAATTACCGTGCTGGAAACAGCAACATTCACAACTCCAAACACAAAAAGAAGCTCTATACAAACTACGGAAGGTGCACTCACACCAAGAGAACAGACCAAATCGGCAGATGCGATCAGAAACAGGGATGATGCAAATGTACCACCCATCACAGAAGAAACTACAAGTAGTAATGTATTCAATACAGCAGCCGAAAATATAACAGTGATGTCAACCACGGCAGACACTACAACTGCGACAACCATTACACCAATATCAACCATTACAGATATGTCAACAACTCCCACATTGTTAACAACTGTCAGCTTACTGGAACGTTCAACATCCCCGTTCTCCATAAATTCAACTCAGTCGGGTATTGCGGATGTCAGCAAGTGCAATTATCTCATCTACTTGAAGAAAGGCACTGAATGGTGGCACTGTGTACAGTAAGTGCTTTTGTTTTTATTTGTTCATGTTGTCTAGTGTGTATTCGTGGACATGAGAAAGTCGGAAGCACACGAGAGAAGATGCTAGGCTCTGTGATTAACTGGCATTAAATAAAACGTTCTGCTGAGTTCAGCTAAGCTGACCAGTTAAGAAACGACATTACTGCCTTCAGGACATTCCAATAAGCGTTCTGACCCCATCTTCAGCAGCCAACACATGCAGATCCGGGCGGGAGGGGGTGGAGATATCAATACTGACCATAAATGACTGCTAGTACGTGAAACAGAAGGTTGTGGACAGATAAGATTACTAACGTCATACAACATGAGGTTAAAAAAAAAA